TCTTTCCTAAAACTTCACTTGTTCGTAAGCGCCTGGTTGAAGATATGACTTTCGCTATTGACATTGTCTGTAATTAACAAATACACTAAATAGGAAGATTTATTATACAACTTCATAGGCTAGTCGCCTCCCTAAGCGGACCCCCCGCGTCCTATCTCTTATGTTAATTAACTTTCTGAATTCTCTAATTGAAGTTTATTTAATAAATAACTGAAATCTCTAATCAACCTACACAATCATAACCCATACTTTTAAACTAAAATTTAAAGTGTTTCAAGTACTTCTGGCTTTGACATACATTAATTATATCTTTGTTCGTCCCAGGTGACACCTTCAAGTGACTAAAATGCTTCACTTTGAAGTTAGTTTCCAAGCTAATTTTAAATTGTATATTGTATAAATAGGGTAAATGTTCCAATTACGCTCTCACATTTTCACTATGTGGCACCACAAAAATACATATGGGTATGTCACAATAGAAGCACACCACAGTGGAAATCCCGAGCCATAGTTCAAACACTTATCCCAAATCAAAATGAAGCACATATAAGATTAGTTACAATACCATGTACAAAAATGATGTTTAACATTGTTTTCTGAGTAATACTTCAATGAAAACAACAATGAAAGCTTGTCACGCAAATAGAAGGAGCACCGTTGCGCACTTTCTGAAATATTTCAATGGTACAATTCCCTTGCAAACTCAAACAAATCTATCTGCGTAAAAATAAATAAAATAAGAGTGATTTGCGGCAAAACCCGCCAGTATCACACCCAACGTCAGTGCCTATACGTAAGCGTACTACGACGCGGCTCTCAATTAAAGGAGTAACAAGTGTGATACTATCACTGCTAGACTAGATCTTTGGTTCTCTCATGCAGTGGTTTATCAGAGAGGGGAAGCTTAGTAATACCCATTGCCTGCCCATGACGCCATTCTATCGCGGCATGAGCCAGCAACGCCGACCATAAACCTACCGTCTCCAACACTCCACTAGCATGAAATTAAGCCCGCCCACCAACAGCAAGGTGCAACAACTAGCCAAGGGGAGGGAATAATGGGGGATTGTAAATGTAAAGTGTAAAGTGTGATGTATAACTAACATGACTAACAATAAAATGGGATTACGAGAAAAATAAAGGAAAGATCTCACCCGATATGACATCACGATGATTTCGAGGAGCTCCAATAGATATGCTGCCGCTACTTCTTCAACCGGTGTTAAACACAGCACTGACATCGCACATCAATATCCTCTATTTAACCTTAAATTGATTTTACGATTTATTAAATTTGTCCTACCTAGTATGTTGAAGAGCAGTAAAAAATTATGATGGTCCCGCTCTAAGCTTTGACATTTGCTACGCGTGTAGCAGCAGTTGTGATGCATTGAAAAGCTTACCAAGTCATACAAACATTCCAGAGTATTCATAATGCCTGAATTAAAATACTTAAAAATCAATTGTTGTCTATGGGTCAACGCACTGTGAGTCTTGTACATGGTACACTTAGTACGGGGGTGCAGTTTACCAGACCTCACAAGGTCTTGTGGAGTATGTAGTAAGCAAAACTTCCGGCAATAATGCGCCTCCGAATTTCCCTGCGGTCTCATCTTCGTCGATTATCGCACTTCTGCCTTTACGAGCTCTACCGCGCTCGGTTCCGCCAGCCAACAGACACTTAAAGCTGGCGCACAATGTATAAGTTTCCGGGTTTTTTAACAGATAATGCATGGGCTAACTATCAAAAAACATGAAAACTTATCCATTGTGCGCTGGCCTTTAGTCTTCAACGTATTCACCTTTAATCCAATATTTTCTACATCACGTTTCAGTTTGGTATACTGCTCTGCCACTGCCTGGAACGTTCTTCCAACAATGTCCACGTCGTCAGCGAAGCAGATGAACTGGCTGGATTTGTTATCTTCCATTTAATTCCACTTAAAAAAATTTGGTATCCATAACAGATACGTATTTCGACTACAATGTGTAGTCTTCATCAGTGTCATTCCCACTAAAGACTTATCAAAAGCCTAACCCCCTTAAAAACTCATCCCCTAGGTAAAAATGTCAAGTTCACAGGTATAAAAAATTAAACTACAATATGTAGAATTTTTACCTTTTTTTTTTTTTACAACAAAAATATAATTGAAATCTTCTTTTATTAATAAACATGATTTAAACATTGATGGAGTTAAAAGTATACATTTTACCTTAAAAAAATTATTGAAAAACAGTTTGAAAACGGCCGAAAGGTTGGTAACACCCAGGGGACTGGCAACCCCATATCAATCCTATACGTTTGACAGTAGGCAAGATCACGGGCCTTATTTAAATACGGCCCACCTGACGTATACATGAAGGAAAGGGACGCAAAATCGTGTTGAAAGCAGAAAGACAAGAGCAGATGAAAGCATCAAAAACATGGCCGCCAGCCAGGCCACTGGTAACACCCCCTTAAGCATCACTATTAATAATTAATTGAAACAGTAATAACAAAAAAATAGGAAAATATTTTCTTTAATTGGTCAAAAATCAAATAATTGGTCAAATCTATCTCCACTACCCCTAAATTTTCGAATAAAATTATATAAAAATGTCAAAGAAAAATCTTCGTTGTGCATTCGGTAAACTTGTTTTCACCAAATTTGACAGAATAAGCTACACAAAATATCACCAACATTAGTTTTCATTTGTTTTCATTGGTAAATATTGTTTATTTGTTATGTATTGAATAATATTGTAAAATTCAGTGCATTAGTTTAATTGGGTACGCAATAACAGCTGTTGCTAGCATGATTAATAATCAAAAGGCTATGTTTATACACAAGCATTAATTTACATCACTCCATTTTAGATGCATGGCCCTTTTGCCCCATAGGGGTTGGCACATGGGAGTTTCAAAACAAAATTTGAGATGACATTTTTAAACAATCATAACAAGTTTTGACGGGATTTAATTGGCATTACATTGCTGATTTATGAAGTCAATGTTATGAACTTGCAATACGATGTACAAGCAACTATAAATATCCACTATTTGGTATATATAGAACGAACAATTATTAGGGTGACACTCTCGCCCCACCAGACCCTACCTATTTTCATTGCATGTGTGCTAGAATTATAAAATGCATATCAAATCATATGGGCCCGCGATAAAAAAATAGGGGCCCGTACAGAAGGCCGCAATACAAAAGGTCGAAAACCAAAAAGGCCGAAAGCCAGAAAGGCGAAAACCAAAAAGGCAGAAAATTTTCAATGAATTTGTAGAAAACCGCACCCAAGCAATCTGTTAGCCTTTCTTCTCGCACAACTGACTCGGCTCGTTAAATGATTTGCATGCACAAAAAATGAAGCCAAGATGAAATTAGATATAGAGGTGTTCTCACTTGCTGACTTTTTGGGAGAAACCAGTAAGTGGTAAGCTGCGGGTAAGAGAAGGGTAAGAAATTGAGAGATGCGATAGAGGTGAACGGTTTATTTACGCATTAACAACATTCTGATTGGGTAGCGAGTTGCGCAAGCAGTTGAATGTGTGTAACTAGAACGTTCATTAAAACGGACCAAGAGCAATATTGCTGTTAATGACGATTTTCGATTTTAGAATACCTCCCATATTGAATTTCATCTTGAACGAAGCCATCATCGTCATTGAATACTCAACATCTGGAAAAAAAATAAAGCTAACTACCTATCACTTTCTCTCTCATTCAGCATCTGAAGACTTTCTGCTCTTACAACTGAGTCACCTTGCAAACCGCATTCACAAAAAACGAAGCCATCTTGTAATTGAATCGTCGTTAAACACTCAAACAAACATAAAAATAAAGCTACCCAAATTTTAAGTTTATTTTTTTATTTTCATTACTGACATCGAATGGCTATTAAGTAGCTTCCATTATATTTTATTTCGAAGATGCAGAATAATAATTATTGTAACTTTACTTTAATAAATTTAATTTGTTAAAATCAAATTAACAAAAGCCCGAATCGGGATAGCAACCGGTCCACTTTGTCGCTTTCCCGACCTTTTTCGGTTTTTCGTGATTCGGCCTTTTTTTATTCGGCCTTTTGTGTACTTCGGCCTTCTGCGTATTTCGGCCTTTTGTGATTCGGCCTTCTGTGATTCGGCCTTTCGTAATACTTCCAAAAATAGACCAGAAACCCCATCAAGAATGGTTAAGACGACCCTGCGTATATGAGAGCAGCGAGCTTGCAATTCGGGTTGAAAAACACTGCTCTTAACTACAATAACATTCCCTGTTTCGCTGAATTTCATAAACATCTTAGAAATCTACTGATCTTCTTTGATACTCAGAATTTCTCTGGAGATCACAAAACTGCTCTGAGAACCAACGAGCGAATGAAAATATATGAAGCTTGGAGGACTTCTGATGGGTTCGACGAACTCAGCGAATTTATAATACAGTCAACTCTCCACAAATCGATGTCCATTAACTCGATTTTGAGTTATAGAACCATAATAAAAATTAATGTCATGGCTACTGTGACAGTGATTTTGTATAACAGAGTGCGAACTTCAGACTTTGGAGAGCTTATTCAGATATTTCCAACGAATTTCGGACCAATACATACATCTTGATATTATTATTATTATTATTATTATTATTATAATTATTTATTAGCGACACTTTACCATCATCGTGGCATTCGTGTCGGGACATCTTGATAGGTGTAAAAGTTCTGAGAAGTTTTAGAGCGTTTATAGTTTTGAAGGTTTCAATTACGATCTGCGAACTACAGAAACGTCCTGAAAATACCTATTTAAAATCTTATACATAATGTAACACGGTTGCAAAACATTGGGGAAACAATACAACTTTTTACATATGTGTTATAGTTGAATTTGAATTCAAGCTGGAAAAAGTTTACCAAAACAAAGTAGATTTTGCTCAGGTTTGCATCCCTCGATGGCTCGATGTAAACAAGTTTAATGGAGTTTCTTTTATTTTTATTATTCAAACTAGGTTAAATAATTTTTCACTTTTATTTTTATTATATACTTTATAAAATAAACAATTCAATACAGTGTTTGTTTTTTTTTCTCGTTTTTTCTTCTTTGATCAATTTTTGCTTCAATATGAAAACAAAACTGAATTTCAATATTTTCATTCCTTTTTAAGCGTTTCGCGTATATCAGCATATTTGTTTTTGTCTGCAATATTTAATTTTAAGTGTACTATGCTTATACTTCTAAACAGTTATTTTTCAAACCTAGGGTCCCCCCTAAATGTACTACATTCCACTCGTTACAATTTTCAGTGCCACAATCCTATTCCTGTTGTTACTACCTAGTCCAATATTTATATATTTACAACCGACTACTTAGATCAGCATTAGTACGTATCGGTGCTTCGTCAACTGAGATTTTCTGCACTATTTCCCTTCGTTATGGCAGCCAAAAACGAAAACAAAAGTCGAGGCCATCGACATGTCGCGCCCGAGAACGACGTTCATAGCTTTGGCTGCCCGTCAATAACATAGACACTTGGGATAGGTCAGACGATTGTTTTCCCCCTGTGTTGCTAATTGGATGGCGTGACATTTGCATTTCAAAAGGTTTAAAACGTTCATTGGCACAACTTGTTCGTTAATTTTTTTTTCAAATTGTAATATTAATAGTTTGTGTTTGTGGCGTTGTACTTTTTTTTTAATTACAGTGTGTTGGTTTACCGACCGGTAGTTGTGCTCGCTAATATAGGCAATAATTAGATTTGAGCGCTCTCGAAATAACAAGTAGGAGTTGCTATGTTCATAAACGTCTGATATTTCTCAGTGTTCCGAAGAATAAAGTACTTCTCGACAACAAATCACCTAATGCTGTTTTAGTGCTGGGTAGTTATTTATATGCTCATTTGTTTACTTAGCAGAACCCACGAATATTACGCTAAAAGTCAATAGTAATATAAATCACAGCATCTAAAAGTCATCTAATCGATGAAAACTGGTCGCTTTTGTAAACGAGTTTCCTCTGTAAGGTAAGGTCGATGAATAAGACTCCAGCCACGATATGGATTATCTCAAATGAGTGAAGGCATTTTTGTTTTGCTAGTTTGATCCTATTGATTCATAATAAAGGAAACGGCTTTCAACATCGGAAAAACGACCGATTTTCGCTCGATTAAATCACTTTGACTAAATATATCGTTTGCAGTAAGTGCGATCAGCCCATCGACTCGTTTCACCATATTGTCTATCAAATACCAATAAGTGAGCCTTTCGGTAGACTAATTTACTAAGGATGATGAAACCAAACAAATGCCTCAGCTAAGGGCTAGGAGGAGGGAAATACAATTACTTTTTGTAATTAATTTTGCCATCCCCTTTCGCGTGGCATCCAGTTCAAATATTGTGCGTGCGTGTAGCTCTCAATCAAATCGGAAACCTTAGAAATTCCTAAAGTTCATCAAAACACGTATGCTCATGACGTAATTATCATGTTATTGCTAGTGGAAGATGATGTTCCCTATTCAAATTTATTCCCTAGATTCTAGATTTGGTTGAGTTTGGCTTAACGGGGGCCCATAAAATAGGCTCCACGATTGGACTACACCTATATTTGTACTAGAAGCTGTTTAAAGCATGGTAAATTAGGATACATTAGGGGAGAAGTTTAAATAAAAAATTAATATAATTTTTTACTAACTTCATTTTTTTTAAATCTAAAACAGCTTACAAATAAAACAAATTTTGCCAAAAGGATTATCAGTATTGAAGTTTTGTATTCTTCTTTTTGTTGAAACCAATTGTAGACTAATAAAAACAAATTGGCAATTCAAAGAATAATAACAAAACCAAAAACAAAAGCTTTCTTCCGTAGAACCGAAAAATAATAACGAAAAAACGATTACCAAAAACAAACGGTCAGTCTCACGGTCATTCAAGATTTGTAATCTTCGTAGGAAAATTTCCAAAGCACTCAAAATCGCATTCTCTATCCTCGCATGGAATCACTCTTCCGTTCATAAAGCAATTATCCAGTGCTTCCAAAGGTTCTTAAAGTCTAATTGTGTTCGCCTTGAAAAAATATAATCAATGTTCTCTCTGTATAAATATCCCCTAACAGTGTGTGGGTGTGTATATAAACAACGGTGTACAGTAAAAAAAAAAAAAGAAAAATCATTACTCTCCTGACTTTTACACCCCCCGAGTTGACTGCTCGCCCGTTTCCAAACCGCAGATATAGACCTTAGAGGTCTACGTAAAAATCACAAATACAATGTACAACGAAGGCAGGTTGTTCCAACTTGAGGAAGTCGAAGGCTCCTGCTTCGACACTTTCTCCAACGGCTCCGTCACTACTGCCACTGCTGCTGGTATTGCTGCTGTTCTCCCGAAATAGTAACGCTGCCAGGGCTGGAAAACAGTGACCATCGTTGTTGACTTGCACTGCTTCCGTCGCCAACCGGCAGAACTCCTGCTCTCAGTTGCCGACGATCATATCTGCCGGATTGATCTGGTTCGTTAGGACGTACACAACCGCCTCGTAGGTGGCCATCATGATGGCCGTGTTCGGGATTTGGCGGACTAGCTGCGTTCCAAGGCCACTGCAAATGAATGGTGAAAAATTCGTATTGCACGTTAGAATTGATGTGATTCGGAAGAAAATCATGATGATAGGGTGTGGCCGGTCGGTTGATTCTTGCTTTGAGAGGTCAGATTTTTTTTCGTAGATTTTTTCCTAGCAGTTAAACAGTTTTTCTTTCTAGCAGTGTAAGGGCAGTAACATATTTTTCAATACAAAATTGTGGAAAAACAAAATTAATACAACCCGGCAAACTGCAGCGGACTTCGCAATACTAGAGGATGCCGAAAAAAATTAGTCGGATTTAGTTTCCAAGAATTCATAGATGGAAGCAAGTAAGAAGATTATACCTATACTAAGGAATGTAGGTCAAAACTGATAAAAAATACATCGAGCTCCAATTTCCATTCAGAAATCTGTGACAAGCAATGTATAAGGTATAGGAAAAACGTGACGAAAGTGGAGAGGGGGGTTGATTTAAATGTATGCTTCTTGCGAATGAGGGTGATGGTCTCGGTGACCTGAGAGCGACCGTTTTTGCTTATTGAGCAGAAGATCGTTTAATCTCAGGCCCCTTCACATTCAAGAGTCGTTAGTCGCTTTCTTTCATAACATTATTACATCACTTCAATACCGCTTACTTAAACGAACCCATCTGCAAACCCAACCCTTTTATCTAACATTCCAATGATTGCTCGTTAGAATTTGCAGGACGTTGAACCATAGAGAAATGTAGTAAAGCTAATGCACAAGTCTTGTCTTCCCGACTGAATGGCCACACCCTTTCGACGATGATGATTATTTCAACTTACCGGTATAATCCGGCCTTGCCTTCCTCCTTCCACACGGTGAGGATCGTCTGCCAGAAGCTGCGATACTTGTTGCCCTCCTCGCGCAACCTTGTACGGGCTACTTCGTGCGGGTAGGCCACAATCGAGGCAATGGTCTTGGAAGTAGCGCCCGCTGCCATAAATTCGAGGAAATCTCGGGACGTCTTGTTGTCCGTTGGGTGGGCTTGACGTAGCTCATTCTATATATGCACGATTCGCATAGGGGGGAGCAAGCAGAACCAGAGAATGGCGCATTAGTACGTTCCGATGATCCGAGTGATACCCGGTGTTGTTTCTAGCATTCGCCCAAGTGACGACACACGCAACAAGGGACAAACCGCTCCCACCTGCCTACCGCCCAGTGAGCGAGAGGTTGTGGCGTTTGTCCGATGTCGACGAAGGATGATTTGTTTCGATTCGAATGGAATAGAAAAAGCAGATGATTGTATCGATATTGGGACTCTAGAAAATGAACTTAGTGTAAGAATTATAAAATGGTTTCTCATACTATGTAGTTTTTTGCTTGCTTTTTTTTTCGGACAACTCCCCCTACACATAACACATACTTATGGAGAAGGGCGAGAGGGCACGAGCGAGCGAGCGATGCACGGTAGTAGTAGTAGTGGTAGTAGATTTCGTGTGAAATGCGTGTGTCTTAGACTAAAATATACGGAGAAAAAAATACACAAACGAGAAATTTAGCGATTCAGATTGCGGCATGTGCAGTTTCGTTTGGGACATAGAAGGGTTTCGGTGTTTGGCCTTTTTCCTTCGAATTGGGTTGTAAGAGTGTTATCAAAATGCGTGTAATCTTTTGCCAAAATTGGTTAAGTAAGGTTCGATCAATTTATGGAACAATTTTTTATATCATTTGAAGTTCTGTTATTGAAATGAAACCGCGATTGGTATGAACAACTTTTAAAGGAAAAAGGCCAAGCCAAACACAACGATTGAACCTCTTCCAGGCTGCTGGTTAACTCACATATAGTAGAGCCTGCCTGTCCAAACGCCTGCAACATGCGTTTCTTTTCAGTTCGTTAGATCAATGTAGGACATACACGGAACACGGGGATGTTGATCCCGAACAGACACATATACATGAGAGTTACACACACACAGATGGACTCGCGTGATTCGTTCGGCAGGGGTACCACAGGAACCACAGGCACAGAACTCCTCCTCCTCCTCAGTTCTCCCGCACTCTCCGCACACGCGCCAGAACACAGAATTCAGCGGCGGGCAGACCGACCGGTGGTGGACATGCAGATATGAGACCTACAAAACTATGACTGTGTATACGAGAATTTTATGTTGAGCAAATTACCATCGTCTCTTACGACTGAATCCATTACGACCAATCGCACAGCGACAGTTGTTGTTGGCACCCTGGACGGCTCAGGAGACCAAGCAAGGAAAAAACAGAGTTCCACGGCTCAGAATTTGCTTTTTTGCGGCAAAAACCCTGATCTTATCAAGCAGTCTTTCGCACTGCTCTCTGAGGTGATCATTTTTGATTGATTGGATGTTGATGTTTCAGAAAGTGGGTGGCGAACGGATGTGATTGTGACGACGGACACAAACCCACCCACACACATAGGTGCAGAACGCACAATGTTAGGATTAGCAAAGAAGCGAACACATACAACTATAAATAAATGAGGGAAGAAAAAGATGTTCGTTAAAATATGCCAGCGCGCTCCGAGGATACATACCAGTTTCTTTTTGAGCGCCTCGTAGATGACGAAATGGATCACCGTTTCCGAAATGCCAAAGTAGCTGGCGGTGATGCCCTTGTAGAATCCTCGGATGCCCTGGTTGGCGTAGATTCGCTTCACACACTCCGAAACGGTCATCTTGCCGGTGGACTGGTAGTCCAACTGAATGCGGGTCTTGACGAACCAGATTGGATTGGTTAGGGTGGCTGATACGAAGCCGGCACACGATGCACTCATGATGTGCACCAGCGGCGAGTTGGCTGGAATGATGCTGTAAGTGGAACCAACGCAATTACAAGTTATTCTTCACTGTTGGAAACCTACACTGGAACGGATTGCACTTACCCAACTGCGTTCAATGTATCCTTCGTCTTAGAGTAAGCACAGAAGTAGAACGCACGGGATGGTGCGACACCGACGATGTTCGGACCGAGACCCTTGAACAGGGCCCGGGAACCCTCGGTTTGACAGATGTGCTTCAGACATTGCCAAATCGAGATCGACTGGACCGATGTCGACAGGCCGCACTGGGGAATCGCGAGGATCTGCCGGGGAGTAAAAAAATGCGATTAATAGCAAATGCAACACCGACGATGCGTGATACATCGATGAATGATGTGGTTTTGAGAAGCCTATCTGCGCGTTGAAACAGTTACCGTTTTTCCATGAAATGAATGAACAATGATGAATGTCGGTCGAGGGTTTGGTACTTTTCCACCGTGATAACCCGCCGACTCAAGTTCAGCGTGAATCTAATCCGGATTGACGCAAACGTCATCTAATCTATACCGCTAGCTGCGAGCTGTAACTGGATTGAGTTACAAACAACACTGCGCTGTAACTCGGATTCTAGAACAATGCAACAATCACCGTGAACATCGTGTGCCGATAATCCGGTTCGATCCACGCTCGAACCGGCTTCAGTGACCGGATTAAATCCAACCCAGCACTAAAAGGTTATCGTTGTTTACATGGGTGGGGTATATGTTATTGGTCAAACGTGGGGTATATGTCATAGACGCGCATCGCGGCGCGTGAAACCAGAAATACAAAACAACTTGGTCGTCTTTGTTCCGATTCTCAGTAAATAAATTGCTTCATCATTCTCAACTCTGATTATACTGGGATTTTAATGTGAAAGAAAAAGTCCCGGGACACGGCACGAGTGCTACTTATCAGCAATTGCAGTTACTGTTACTACTAGCAACAGAGCATGATACTTTGAAACCGCTTGAAACCTGCTTTTCCAATCCGGTTCACGTGTTTGTGGTACATTTTTACATCAGAATTAACAACATGAAGGCGTACTTTGCTCGCACCTATTAAATGACCGATGTGTTTTGGAGTTGAAAATCTTACGTCTAGCTTATTTCGAGATTACCAATAGATGAATGCTAAAACTTATGTCGACAATGACCATATGGTATAACATGATATATTTGTAAGGTCGCTGCCATGCTGACGCGGAACGCGAAGCGAAGCATCAAATTGAATGTAAGGAATAATATCAATAATAAAAATTCCCTTGAACGCGCGACGCAACGCGTCAGCATGGCAGTGGCCTAAGAACAGTAACTGTTTCTAGCCCCAACTTTGCCATGCTGGGGCGCAAAGCAACGGTAGGACTTCATCGCAACGAACACGACAAAGACAAACAAATCCCACTCACCGATGGACGCCGTCGACTGAGAAGCGAACTAGGACATACTCGCTGTCTGGAATGGTTATGATGGTGGTCCGAAGTGTTGGAATTGATACTGGTGCGCAGCTGATGGTGATGTTCGTTCTGGCCGATCAATTTACCACGCTCGTCGGATGCGGACGAAGCAATACGGGGTGGTATACTATGAATAAACGATGCGGACGAACTTTGCAAACGCGTTTTTACCACTTCCAGCGGGCATGTTACTACGGCGCCAGCAGTACCTGCGATACTGGGGGGAGAGAGAACAATTGAACGATCAATTAGTTGTCATTGATGCAGTTTTAAAAATAAATTTCAGTTATATTAACATGTGTGTTAGTTCTAATTGCGATGATTGTAAGCTACCTGCCAGTTACTTGTCGTATTATGACGCTGTGAAAAGAACAATTATTATTTTACCATTGTCACGTATGCATATTAAACCTGCTTCCAGTAATTAAAAAAAAAAACACTCAACGAGTGATAAGATATGGCTTCCCGAAGAAAAATACTGAAACATAAAAACTAAAGTCGGTTATCGCTATCGATGTAGCTTAACATTTCGTTACTCTGCCAAAATACATCTTAGTTGAGACGTTTCCCTTATTAATTACCTCAAAATGGCATTGAATTTCAATGCTGTTGTAGACATATAAAAAAAAAACAACTACACACGAATGCAAAGTTTTATTCGGGCTAACGACGAATAGCATTGTCGTTCCGCACCTTCTCGAAAATATCCCCGACTGAACTAATTATAGTTTGCCGGTAATAGCTCGAGTTACACAATCTGGCAAGTCTTTTTTGGGAAATACACGTTCCGCGGACTTCCCCCATGCATACCAGTTGAATGCAATCCCTCCTCATCAGAACCGCTGACTGCCAAGGGTTATCTTCGATGACCTGGTTGTTAGTCTAGTTCATCAACGCAACCGTGAGTGACATGGCGCTTGTTCAGAACAGTAAAGATGACGTTTTGATGAATGACTGGTTAGTTACCGGGTCGACGAATGCCGCAAACATCCCGCACGTCATGTACTCTTATAACTATAGCAAAAAGGGGGAGATAGTTGTTTTGATTTACCACTCGGACCGGTTTAATCCTAGAATAAACTGGTGCCTGCTATCATCACGCTACTACTTACTACTATTGAAATAGTGAAGGATTTTAGTCGGCTCTGTGCGCCAATTTCAAACATGAGTTGATATTTGTTTAGAGTAAACAATCCGCGGTGCAAACGAAAGTTGAAGATGATCAAGTGGATTCGATTTCTTCTGAATTCGCTCGTATTTGATGTTGTTTACCCTACTTATGGCGCTTCATTTTCCGTCGAATGACGCTCACAGTTAATGTCCTTTGAAACGTAAATATGCATAGAAAAATTAAAAGCACCGAGGTATTTCAGAATGATTGACAGCCCGGCCCAAAAATCGTGCAGTGTCAAATTTTGACAAATATCGCTTGGTCATAGTTAGACAAACGCACATTTGCTGACAAGTATGTGACAGCTTGGATTACGTGCCCGAATAAAAACATTTATGTAATTCTATGTCAAGATTTTTACTCGGGCACGACCCACGTAGGCCATTAATGAAATACACGCATATTGCGCCACATACTCGCAACGTACAGTGTAGAAGTGAGCGATTCTCAATCATCCTCCGTCGGCGTCGCGGAGGTCGCGTCTGCTTCTCCTCTCAAGATCCTCGTCGTGTGCTGATCACGCTCCAATCACATGTTGATTCACACTTCTTTTTTTTTCGCCTCGTGTTCGCATCTGCGATCGCATTATTTTGGCGAATGCGACTGTGATCATTGGACTTTGCACTGTCAATAACAACGAACACTGATCCTTCGAGACATTTTGCACCGTTCGGTGCGAGAATTTCGCATTGGATTGCGGACTTGCACAACCCGTTTTGATACCGTGGCTTTCTAAAATTAAACCACAGACAAGTAGAGGTAACCTTCCTTTCCTTAGGCGAGACACGACAAAGAGGACAATTTGCACCTTCTTTCGAAATCTCGCACTTGCATCCGAGCGTACGTGCGTGATCGAATGGTTAAAAACCAAAACCGATGCGCGGCACATTTTTTGTCCCATTATTTTGACATTTAATGCATAAAGCTCGGGTCGTGTTCGGGATTGTTTACGTTTCGCTTCTACTTTTAGCAAATGGAAAAATATTGCGAAGACTGAGATGGTTGTCTGTTTTCATACATCATCTTCGCGGAGGAGGCTCGTTCTCAGGGGAAGATGTCCGCCGCTCATTTGGCTTGTGCGTGGAAGAAATATCTTTCCAAAATCCTTGATGGGGTGCGAAAATAAGTGACAGTTTTTATCATTTAAATTTGAAACTGGTCAGAATTTCAAGAAGTGCAAGCGTCACTTAAACGATAGTAGCACCGTTTCTTATCTGACTGCACAAGCAGTTGAAATGCGAGGCGTAATTTCTTACGATATTGTCTTAGTTAATTGCAAACAGAGAGACCTTAACTGTTAGGATAATGGTGACAAGTTAGATAAAAGGTTGATAAGATTTCATTTCTTTTGCAAGCCATCAGTGCAGTACAATTCAAACAATCAGAGGACATAAAGATAAAGCAATCTCCTTTACTCGGAGGGCGATAAGTAGGTGGGTACCTTTACCTCTGTCTGTCTAGCTGAAGCATTGTTTTCGAATCGTCGGTGCAATGTGGTTTTGATTTTATTATGATCAATGTTTCTTGAAATTTGAATTCATTTCTCTATTGCAGGAACCTTGTAAAATCCAATTTGGAGCAAATTTGATTATTTTTCCAGATTTCCTTCAATTCATGGTACTTTTCCATTGCCACGCACTCTTTGTCTTGTAACCGACGATTAACTGACGTCAATGCACGAGCTCCGGAGATAACCAAAATACTACCACGAGGCAGGCCGGTATTAAGCAGTCTCGGAATCTGCCACGGGTCGCTCGCCTGATCTTTCCCGAATTAAAAATAGGTTGTTTGTTTTCCTTTCATTGGAATCGGGTGATTTCTTTGCGGCAGACTTACAGCAACACTATCTCTCTTTTATTAGCGCGAGAAGAGAAGGCCGGAAAAAACAAGCCTCCATCCATCAATCAGAGTGTTGGGACGAGAATCGAAAGGCAAAAAAATCCAACCCCGGACTTGTTTGTCCGAACTTATCACCGACCGCCATTGCTGGTGCTGCTGCGAGTACACACTCATTATAATGCGAAAATGATGATGAGTGAACCGTGCGGGTCAACCGCGGTGATAGCTCTAGTTCTAACCGGCTTTGCTCGTGATCCGGTGTGGAAGCATCTCATTGGCAATATCATCGAGCGATCGTTCGATAACTGTTTGACTAAACATGTCGCCGAACGGCGCCATTCGATCACCGAAATGTTTGCCCAAGCTTATCCAGTGGGGAAAATAGGTAAAGATGAGCAACTTAAGTTAAACTAGCTGTGATGCGTACACACTAATCCAGGCCTCCGTCGTTCGGTAAATTTTGAACTACAAAACTGTTCGGTAAAAGTTTCAAAATCAGTGAAAAATCCAATTATTAAAAAAAATTATCCCGAACATTTACAGAGTTTGTTCAGTTTACCCCATTTATTGATGAAAAATAAAATTTATAAATGTTCTTGATTTCTCACGTGTAACGGTCATTTGAAAATTTTACCGAATTATTCTGCCGTTCAAAAACCCGGTAAATTCCTACCGACTTCGGTGATCTGAATTAAGTGTGTACCATCGTTAAATAGAAGAAATAGGGTATACGTCCCTAACCTCGGTCTAATATGCAGCCATCGATTACGTTTTTAATCATAACTCATCAATGAATTTACCTGCAAACGATATTCTACTGCTAAATGGTATGCTTAGATATGCTTATCATGTCGTTTGCTATCAGAAACCACGAAAAGTTGAAAAACTTACTTTTTTTAAGACAATAACTCACGAGGGAAATGTATGTAATATGGGTCTATTGTCCCCAAATTGGGTCTATTTATGGATGCAACTTCGTCCTATCTTGTTTGATCCTCAAAAAAACGCTCTTGGTAACGTTTTCTGATGTATTTTTTTTATCACTATCACTGTTAACTTAATGCTCTTCATTCCTCAAAACATTTCTTAGAGAAAATTTTACGAAAACTACATTAAATCACTCAATTTAAAAATTAAAAATTAAAAATTTCGCTTATCGTCTTTTGACCGCAGAATATCTAAATCAGAACATTGTGATGTTCATTATACAGGTTTGGCAGAAAAAATCTCCCTTCCTGTTCGTTCCTTATCATCCAAATGCAAAACAACATTGTTGACGTTACTCTTATTGCTATATGCTGTCAAATGAATTTCATGGGCCATAGTTAGGAACATAGAAAAGAAATGTGTCCCTAAAGTTGGGTCCATGTTTTACTTGTGAAAACGTTGTTAAACAATTAAAATAAACATAAAATATTCAAACAGCAACTGTAAGTTTTACGTCTAGTGTGTATTATCAGGTAATTCCAATCAATAAATGCCATAATCAGGCCATTTGATGATCGTCAGTCAACCTTCCCATCTTAACCTTATAAGTCATGGCGGCTAAAAACTCCGAACATTGTGATATTCTCAACCAGTTTTATTACTTACGAGAGCTGAAAATGTATTGAAATGTTGTGATATAAATTGATTTGTGTGTGGTACACATTTATCAACCATCAGTGATCAATATTTTCCTTATTTTTTGTGTAATATTCCTTAATTAATTATTTATTTGCGTGATAGGCCGAATGAAAGGACTAGACCCACATTACATACCGTAACCCTATAAGCAAAATGTTAATTTAACCGAACATTAATTCAAAACGAAATTTTCCGGCGCTGTTATAATCACTGATATTGATTTCCAGTTCATCATTTGTTAACTAGATTAACCATAACATAACACTTCACACCAACCAAACGGCATTGACAGACGATGTCAGCATGAGTTTCAGATAAAAGATTGCCCTTATTTGAAACATGCAACCGACTGACCTATGGGGCCTCCCTTAGCTCAGTCGGTAAAGGCGCAGCTACAAAGCAAGACCATGCTGGAGGTGGCTGGGTTCGATTCCCGGTTCGGTCTAGGAATTTTTCGGGTTTTAAAATTTCTCGACTTCCCTGGGCATAGACGTATGATTGGACTTGCCACACAATCATATCAATGCAAAAATGGTACAGGCATCGAAAGCTCTCAATTAATAACTGTGGAAGTGCATCTA